CTGGACTGACACATTTACTGTTAACCGGCTAATGCTAGCTTCACACTGGAGGCTGCAGTTTGTACAGTTTGTCCCAACCAGGCATCCGTAATTCATGTTGTAGCTTCAGGAAATAGGACAGGAGGGGCAGAGAGCGGTTTGTGGGGTCAGTTTGTTTCAAGTCTCACTGGACCTTCTAGGCTGAAGAGACATTAGGTGGAGTAGCTTTAATATTAGTGTTTGTCTTCAGTCCCAGCAGCAGTGTTAGGTCTGAGGCTGGACAACAATGGCAGCTCAGACCATCTGCTGGCCTCCTGGGCGTCACCTGAAGGCGGTGTGGATTTCTACCTGGTGACCCTATCAGCTCCGGGTTCAACCCCACAGCAGCAACGCTTGCCTCCCAACATCACCCATGTGGTCTTTGAGGGCCTGACCCCTGGTCGCAGCTACCAGCTAACAGTCCAGACCACAGCTGGAGGGGAGAGTACAGAGACCAGGACCAGAGGCAGGACAGGTGGGTGCTTGGAGACACCTTGGGGAATTCACTCTGTCTTTCTTGCAGTAATTATTACAGTATTATTACTAATGTGTTGAGTAGGTTTATTTTCAGAAGAGGAGGAAACGCAAAGTAAGAAAAAAGATGTGATAATGTGACTTTAAGGTCAAGTCGAGCTTCACTGACACAGATCTGATGCTTCCTGATACATAATATTGTATTTGTACTGACTTTACTGCCTTAACTCTGGCTGGTTGTGTCTTTTTAGAAGAGTATTAACTATAAACATAAAGGCTAGTGAACATAAAAATAATATGAATAAAAATAAGCTAATAAGAAAAGGAGTATCACAATAAACAAACATATAGATACATTTAAAAAAGGAAAAAAACTATAATATAAAATAACGATGTATAAAGTAGAAACAGTCTTGTAAAAAGCTGCATTTGGCACAGACTGTGTGTTGGTGGGACAAGGAGAGGCTTTGTGCTTGTGTTTGTTCCTGTACTACTGTTCCAGACATGTCAGGTGTTGTCCAAACAGCAGCAGCCGTACGTTGTCTGCAGCCTGGGAGGCGCTCCTCTCCTCCTGTCTGCTTTAATGATTTTCTCCGTCCTGTTCCAGTACCTGACCAGGTGTCGGCTCTCTCCATGTCGCCTCTTGGTAGCGACAGGACGCTGCGGCTCAGCTGGGCGCCCCCCTCAGGTGACTGGGAGAACTACAGCGTCCTGCTGAGGAACAGTTCGGCGGTGCTGGTGAACCAGACCGTCAGTAAACACAGCAGATGGTTCGTGTTCTCTGGCCTTGGTCTGGTGCCAGGACGAGTCTACAGGGCAGAGGTCACAGTTCAAAGCGGCCTTCTGGGTAACATGGCGCACTGCCACGGACGACTGGGTCAGTTCATATTCATCAGAACATGAACTAGAACTGAATACTTGCTACCTCCCAGCCCACTCTATGCTGTGTCTCCTTCACTTCCTCCTTCTCTTCCTCTTCTAGTAGTAGTAGCTCTGTCATTCTTTGGATACTTCTGAGTGTAACTGATTTAACTTGATGCCTGCTGGTCCTGCACAGACCTGACTTGATTTGCTGGGTGCTGCTTTGTCACGGGGGGTAAAATCCTATCCTCACATGCTTTATGGCACTATTGTTGAAATCTGATCACCTGCACCTTCTTTGTCACCTCCACCCTCCTCCAGCTCCGCAGCCCGTGCAGCAGCTGCTTGTCCGTCACGCTGATGAAACCACTCTGAGCGTCCTGTGGAGTCAACCTATCGGCGAGTGGGACACCTTCACTGTGTTCCTCAGGCAGGCAGACTCCGCCACCATGGTGGCTCAGAGGATCCTCCCCTGGCAGTCCAGAGAGTGCACCTTCAACACCCTCACCTCAGGATGCCTATACACCATTACCGTGACAACCAGCAGTGGCAACCTGAGTAGCTCAGCCTCTGTGACGGCGTGGACCAGTGCGTATGCTGCTGATTGTTCAAAGGGGAAATTGTCAGGGTACAATTTTAGGGTTGCATGTTGTTCTTCATGTGTGACAGGTGCAGGTAGACAGCACAACATTCTGTTTATTTTATGCCTTTTAAATTTTATTTATTTTACCTTTATTTTACTTTGATAAATTCCTTTGAGGTTTAAAACCTCAAACTGACAAGTTTACAGATTAACATACAAAGAAACAATACAATGTTCAACAGTATTGCCACAGTTCACCAAATAAAACAGCAATACAGCCTTTATTACAGTGCTGACAGTAGAGAGATGTCAGCAAAGCAGGACGTATTACACAGCTCTCCAGCCGGACTCCAACTGGGCACAGCATGGTTCATGGTGCATGGTTCAAAACAACTGGTGGGGAAGGTCATCCATGAATGGCTTTCCTTGACCCCTTTCCATCCCAGTGCCCCTGTCAGCCTTACTGATAAATTAAATCTGTGTGAGAACCTCTGGACTACAGGAAGGCCTCACACAGCCTGTTTGATTGACAAGTGATGTCTGTGAAGTTCAGAGCAGAAGCAGTCACTTACAAGGTGTGTGTGTGTGTGTTTGTTGTCTCAGCTCCAGCTCAGGTCAGCAGGCTGCAGGTCTCTAACGCCGGCACGACTGACAGCCTGCAGGCGCATTGGGGACGAGCCACCGGAGACCTGGACTCTTATCAGGTCCTGCTGGTCCATGACAGCAGCGTCATTAAGAATGAGAGCGTACAGGCCAACACCACCAGCATCAGCTTCAGCTCTCTGAGACCCGGAGCGCTGTACAGGGTGGTGGTGACCACCGCCAGAGCCGGACACAGCTCCAGACAGATTGTGGCAGAGGGGCGCACCAGTAAGACCATAACTCACTGCTGCACTCAGACGTGTTCTGTCAGCACTGGGATCTGGACTAAAGGCTTTCATGTGGTTTTCCCTTGATGAATTATCTAGTTTATAAAGTCTGAGTTTCTCAGAGTCAGAGGGGGCGCCTCCATATGACCCCAGAGATGTTCAATTCAAAGCCGAAAAATTAATAATTTTTCTCAATCAAGACAAAAATGAATCAGCTCCTGATGTGATAACTGACAAATCATTAAAACACCAAGCTGGGTCTCTTTGAGTTTCAGACAAAACCTGACTCTAAGAAACTGGGATGGACATTTTCACCGCTTTCTGACCTTGTAACCAACCAAATAACGAAGCAGTTCACCTAATCAATACTGAAAATAAGCATTAGCTGCAGCTCTAAGTTTGCTAATAGACAGCCTTCTTCTTCTTCACCTTCGTTGATGGATTGCTGCAGGATTTGCCACTTCACACAGTGAAAACTGTGCACGTGAATGTGGGTCATGTTGCCTGAGTGCATATGCAGGGGCATCCTCGTGCACCAAATAACAGAATTGTACTATTAGTTTCAACCTAAATGTCATAAGCTTTTGTTTTGAGATTGTAGCTTGTGAAGGAGAAGGTTCCACCTGCTGCTGTAGATCATGAGCAACAGAAGGACCTTTGTGAGGTCATTTATAAACTGATCGTACTTCTTCATTTTGGAGAAGAATGGACCCCAATGATTCCTCAGTTGGAGGCACGAAAGCTTCTCCCTGATCAGTGAGCAGTAGAAGGCGACGGGTCACTGCAGGACCAGAGCTCAGTCACCTCTATCTGACTACGCACAGCTCACCAGCAGGGAGGGGAGATCTGCTGATTTCTCTTTTTAATGACACACAGGCTTTTCTGCAGTTTTGACAGTTATGTAACAATAACACTGAGACACCAGATGATGATTAAGACGCTCGTTGTCAGTCCCTGTATTTATGCA